GCATTCTGCCCTGTAGCTGATGGGCAGGTCAGCAGGTACTTTGCAGGAGATGTCCAGTGGCAAGCTAGCCCATTCATTCACCTTTTTCATGTTTTATTTCCATTGTGGATATGTCTCATATAACATGAGTATGTATATTGCTTGTCTTGAAAGGCTCATGCATCTGTGGGCTGAGATGAATGGCAACAAACCATTGTTGGGAAACAGAATACTTATTGCTCACTACAGAGGGTGAATTGGTCACTAGTGACTGGCTGAATGCCCTTGGTTGTATTTCCATCTGCAGAGAAATATTTATCTGCTCATTTGCCAAGCTTCCACCTATCAAAATACATTGGCTCCTGCAATAGCAGAATGCATCATTTTCCCTGAATTGAACCTTGCAAATCTCACAATCTGCTTGTTTGCACATGTCCCACCTGTAGGCATACCTTGGATCCTACATTAGCACAATGAGAATATTGCTTTGCATTTGCATCTGATGACTGATTGCTCTCAGCCTTGCATCTTGCACAGTCCACTCATTTTGAAGGGTTCCATCTATCAGGATCCATCAAATGCCATGTTAGCAGGTCGAGACAGTCCATATCAACCCCCACTCATTTGGAAGGGTTCCATCTATCAGGATCCATGGAATGCTGTTCTCACAGGCTGACATCTTTCTTTGCATCATTATTCTATTATTAGCCATTATCTTGTTTTGTAACTCTCAAGTGAACACTGTAAATAGCATAGCCCACTCATTTGCCAGGTGTCCATCTATTCAGATTCATCAGTGGCCATATTAGCAGACTCAGATGTGTTGGCCAAATCAGACTATTAATTTGTGTCAAATGGCAGGTTGCTATTGCATATCACACAGTCCATTCATTTGCAAAGGTTCTGTCTATCAGGTTCCATCAGCTCCAGTTTTAGCAGAATGAGACCATCCCACTATCTCATTTTTTAAGTTTCAAGTTAACTATTCTATGTCAAAAAGCCATGCATTCACTAAGCTTCCACCTATTGGGATACATTAGCAGCTGTTTTAGTAGAATGAGATTATCCTTTGCAATTTTGTTGGCTGTCTAGCCATTATTGTCTTTTTCTCACTCTTGAATAAAGGTTGAATATACAATGCAGCATGAGTGGTCAATTAAAATGGAAATACAAAATGACATCATATGTACCATGGAGGAGTAAAATGATAGATGGCCTCATTCACCCTGCTGTCCTATCTGCCCTTGTCTCATCTGCCAGAGGCCCTAAGAGATCAATGAGATCATCACCCAATGCTTGTCCATATACCCAAATATGCAGAGCCTCTAGCTTGCAAGCCATCCTGTCCAGCATCTGCATGGTTTCATCCTGTTGTATTTGGAAATCATACATTTGATCCTCATAGTATTGGCAGTGGGCCTCAGCATCATGGAGTCAATGTTCCAAATCTTTGATTCACTCTTTGATTGTGTTGGATGTTTGTGACACCTTGGTGATTGGGGCACAGATGGGTGACAGTGTGCTGGGAGTTGCAGCAGTTGTGAGTTGGACAGGTGCTGCTGTTGTTGATGGGTGGGTGTCTGCTTTGAATACAAGGGTTAACTGCAATAATTAGCATCAATGTAGAGTGATTAAATGTACCTGCTGCCATAGATCCCTCTACCTCCTGTGCAATGGATGGGCCAGCCTCGACAATCAAATCCACTTGTACAGTGGCTGGGATTGGGCAGGAATCCCTGTGTTTGAATGCAGGAATATGAATCTCTAAATAAAATTTGAGTCAGCATAAATACATGAAATTGTGAACATACTGAGTGAAGATCCCTTGGGGATCATCTCTCCCTGGTTGGAGGGCCCAACCCCAGTGTTGATGGCTTTAGAAGCCATGGAAATGTGTCACTTTGGGGGACAGTTCCTTTGGACTTTGGGATTCTTGGGCCTCCATTGTCAGGGACAGACTTTGAGCTTGCTTTTTTCCCCTGGCTTGTGATGGATTCCATCGAGTTGGAGTGGCAATCCCACCTTTGGCATGGCTACATCAAATTTTGCAACTGTCACACAGGAAGCAGAACTTCCCAGGGCTCTTGTAGCATTGGACCTTGTGTCTGTAGCACAAGTCACAGGAATGAGGGTTGGGGGAAGGTGTCCTTCTGGCAGCTACAGCAGCATGACCATATAGTCTGGCCAACAGTGGATGAGGCTTGCATTTCAATTGGCCTTGAGCAGGAATGTCTTCATCATCATTGGTTTCTGCTGTTGCCTTCCTAGAGTGGGATCAACGTCTGGATCGATGGGACATCATTTTCACAGCAGCTTTGTGCTTCTGCCTGCCTCACATTGGTTCTTCCTTGTTGTCCTCCTTCTCTGGCACCTCATCTTCACCCTCATCATCCACCTCCATCCTGTGCGAGCTATCCACTATCATTTGCTCCACCTCTGCCTTGGTCACTTTCCATTTTCCTTTGTTGCTCATAGGCATTTCAGTCTCTTGAGCAGGTGGTGTTGGTGTTGGCACAACATGGGGCATAGGGAGGCCCAACTGGTGGTAGTCATATCAATGCTCGACAATGTCAAGCCACTTGTGGTTGGCGATGTTGGTTTTAGAAGGGGATAGGGCAGTCTTCCACTCAGGCCATGGGTGCTCAATCAAGCCAAGGTCTTCATGCCACTTTAAGAACATGTTGACACCAATGAGAGTCATCAGAATCTCATCCATCCTAGCAATGAGGTTGCATACAGCATCCTGAATGCATCAGTTAGTGAAAAAAATGTGATGATGCTATGATGCACTAGTTCATTGTTTATTGCCTTGATGGCACCTCTCCACTTCACAATCTTGTCTGCCTTTCCCAGCTTACTGCTTTCTGTGATATCCTTGAAGTAAATTTGAAGGATGCAGTTGGCCACAGCATCAAGCTCAGGTGATTTCTTGAAGAGCTTGCAAGACAACGACAATGACATGTTTCTGATGATGAGATGATGGAGTAGTTTGACAGTGAGAGTGGTGATGGTGATTGGAGAGTGGAAGAGTCAGAGGTTAAAGACAGATGATGAGATATGTGGATGTCACATTTTTTATCCTGCCTATGAATGATTCCCATGGCATGATGGCAATACTGGTACAAGTCAATAATCCTGAATGCATATATGAAGCAGAAGCTCAGATAAAAATATGATGCATTGTTCTGGAATAGCATTGCTGTTTGTTTTGTGTGTTTCCCATCTGCTCCAATGGCAGAGCCTGGCTCACAGCTACATAGACCAGCACCTGAGATTCCAACTAAATAGGCAAATCATCCAACATGAAACACAATTTATAGTGGGAAATTCAGATACTCTATAGTGCAAGAGGTTCTGCTTTCTTCATTTCTTGTCTTCCTGGGCCTGTCTTATGCAGTGACAAGGGTTTGTAATCCTGTGATGGACAGATCAGCCCATCTTATGTTGTAACACTGGTTTTTGTTTTCCCTTATCTGCTGCCTGAGAATACCATGGATGGGCCCATCCTTATGTAGATCCCTTTGATCTCCCTTTCTGCCGCTTGAGAATGCCTTACATGGACTGTCCTTATGTAGATAGCTTGGATCTCCCTTTCTGCTGCCTAAGAATACCATACACAAACTCATCCTTATGTTTCAACAGGGGTGCATCTTGCTAGATGGGCCCATCCATTTGTTGTGATGATATACATGATACTACTGAAGGGCCTGTCCTTATGTTGTGATGCTATTAGATGATATTACTGACAGGCCCATCCATATGCTGCAACAATATAAAAAATACTACTGAAGGGCCCATCCTTATGTTGTGACACTATTAAACAGCATTACTGATGGCTGTCTTTATGTTTCGACAGGGTACATCTTACTGGGGCCAGGCCTGCCCATATGTTGTGATGAGATAAATAATACTACTGATGGGCCCATCCATACATTGTGATGCTATACATGAGATTACTGATGGGCCTGTCTTTATGTTGTGACAATCCAAATAATATTATTGAAGGGCCCATCCATATGTTGCAACTCTATTAAATGATATTAGTGATGGGCCCATCTTTATGTTTTGACAGGGTACATCTTGCTGGGGCCAGGCCTGCCCATATGTTGTGATGATATAAATAATACTACTGAAGGGCCCATCCATATGTTGTGACTCTATTAAATGATATTAGTGATGGGCCCATCTTTATGTTTCAACAGGGTACATCTTACTGGGGCCAGGCCTGCCCATATGTTGTGATGATATAAATAATACTACTGAAGGGCCTGCCCATATGTTGTGATGCTATACATGAGATTACTGATGGGCCCATCTTTATGTCTCATCAGAGGTACATCTTACTGTGGACAGGCCTGTCCATATGTTGCATAATTCTACTGATGGGCCCAACCTTATGTCATGACTCTATTAAATGATACTAGTGACAGGCCTGTCTTTATGTTTCAACAGTGGTACATCTTACTGTCAACAGGCCCATCTATATGTTGTGACATTATGAAGTGACATTACTGACAGGCCTGTCTTTATGTTGCAACAGGGGTACAGCTTATTATGAACAGGCCTGTCTAGATGTTGTGACACCATAAATGATATTACTCCCAGGCCCATCCATTGCCAACTTTGTATTCTAATCATAGATGGGCCTGTCCTTATGTTGTGACCCTCTCCATGTTATGATAGGCAGGCCCACCTTGATGTTGCAACAGCCACTGAGTTCATTCACATTGTGATGCCACCAGTGTGTTGAAGCCACATCCCTCCTCATGAGTAAGGCTCCATTTGCCCTCCTAGATGGTGGGAGACGAGCGTCAGCCCGTCGCGTCGGGCAACTCCCTCCTAACACCCAGGATCCGCAGCTAACACTCGTCTCGTAGATCACCACCTCATCACGGCCGGAAGGCGCTGCGCGCCTTCGCCCACTCCTGCTTAATCGTTACATACCGCTACTAGCACCCCTTTTCTCACTTAACTCAGACAGCAGCGATACGCAAAGAGTACAGTGTTTGATGTGTATCAGTATGATGGCAAGTGTTGGAATTTGAACTTGGGTGCTGTTCAAGGTCATGGTTGATCAACGCAGACATTCATAGTTCCTCATAATAACATGGCTAACAATGAGCATCTGGTCCTCGACTCATCTGACGCAGGTTCCGTCCACCTCAACTGGATGCGCATGGCGATGATCATGGTGTGTCCGCCGACAGTCGACCGTGCACTACAGCGGTGCTGAGAACATATTATATACAGGCGGAGGAGGCACTTGCAGCGGGAGAGGTCCCTGTAGGGTGTGTCTTCGTGCGCAACGGCGAGGCCATCGCAAAAGCGCGAAATGGGACTAATGAACCTCGCAATGTAAGAAGGGACTTCCTTCTGGTCTTCTTTGTCCTCTCCCACTCAGCCCCATATTCATTTCCAGGCATCGAGACACGCCGAGCTTGAGGCTATCGATCTCATTCTTGCCAACAATGACGGCGGCAACCGGTATCCCCTCTCTGACACCAATCTATGTGACAGTAGAACCCTGCATCATGTGTGCCTCGGCCCTCCGACAACTTGGGATCAAGCAAGTATTCTGCGGCTGCGAAAACGACAAATTCGAGGGATGTGGAAGTGTCTTGGGAGTAAATGCGCCGTCGGTAATCTCTTCCCTTTCTCTCTTTTCTCTTGATTTTCCTCCTGTCCCCCGCAGTTCGGAGCACTCTATACACCCGGCCTACGATGCCATCGGTGGTTATCTTCGCGAAGAGGCTATAATGGTATTGCGGCGATTTTATGTTACCCAAAATGCGACCGGTTCGTCGTTCCTATGCAAAATGTGATTAGTTTAAACTTTGTTATATTCATACAGCGCCTATTCCAAGACAGAAAGGCACCCGCGTCCTGAAAACAGAGATACCCTCTCTCTCGTACCAACGGTTCGTGAGTTGTCTCCTCCACACACGTGGAGGCTAGAACTGCCAGGACGCCAAAACTACCATGGATCGCTCATACGACGTCGAACCTAAGTCTATGTGTACATAGTTGTATTGATCATTTCCGTGGTAACAATGATAGTACCCGAAATGTCCGTTTGATGAGGAACCTCCTTGGTCTAATTGGACTCCTTCCACAGGCAGCTTCGTCCAAGTAACCAAAAACTTCGGAGGGTATATCACAAGACTCCTGCCATTTCAGACCCATAGACTGGGCCACGAAGCCCCATCTGTCTGCTGCGTCCTGGATCCTGCGCATGGGATCAGCACTGCCATCTTGACACTCCACAAGAACGAGAGAATATATACCGTTTCTCAGTACCCTTACCGGCCCCGTGTCCAGCTTTCTTGTCGATTCTAATGAGAAGGGGGTGAGCGTTTTGAGGTAACGTATGCTGGAGTGTGGCTGCGTGCTTGAATGAATGTAGAGGGACAACTCGGTCGTCATCTACGTGTAGACACTTGTCAGTTGCTGGTGTCAGTGATAGATAGCTGCTGTACTGACGATCGGCCGTCATCAGCAGTAACGGCGACAACACCTTGTCTGCCGAAACATTATGTAGTGGAGAAATAGGATATATGAAGTCAAAGTCGTGGGGGTCGTGTGGGTTACCGTAGCCAGATACCCACGCCTTGCCTACAAGGTTTGGGTGAGTAACAGTCACCTCCAGATTGGCACATGAACGTTAGACTGACCGATGGTGAAATCTGCAAACTAAGACCCAACAACCAATGTGAATAGCGGAGGGAGATGCAAGGCAGGCGACACACACCTTCAACATATCCAAGACACCGACCTCGGCAACGGCTGCCCCGAAGGTGCCTTGCGGTGCGATATTTACGCACGCGGCGACGAGAAGACCTATGAAAGGGATGGTCGGATCACCCTCGACGGTATGAAACAAATGAGACATACCTCCATTAGAGCCGCCATTAATGGCAACCTTTCTCGGGGCAGCTATTTTGGTTTTGATGATATGGTCACTAATATGGAAGAGCGTTAAGCGGTGACAGAATGTAAAACTTGACGAACTCACGTAGCCGCGATGAAGTCGTTGAACACGTTGATCTTCATTGATATCAGATAAACCCGGTCATACTAATCCGCTAGCAGGCCCTCACCTTCTTTTCTCGGATACCCGCTTCGTGCCACACCTCACCGAACTCCCCTCCTCCACGAATGTTTGGCAGTGCAAATACAGCTCCGTATGACTTGAGGAAATTCAGAATTGCCGGACTGAAAGAAGGGTTTACGGATCTGCTAAAACCTCCATAACCTACCGTAGTCAAGTGTGTTGAGCCAAAATCTGGTCACGGCATTCCGGTAAATCCGACTGCAAACTCACCGTATTGGATGGCCGGAGCAGTCCCGTCCCTTTTGGTGCTCTCATGCCTTGCGAGGAACATTGGGATCCGGGTGCCATCCTTACTCTCGTACCAAACCTGTTCAGCGGTGAATTCCTCTGCTTTCAACCCCTTCACATGCGTCGTTCGGTATACACTCCATTTCTTTCCGTCGTCCGCTTCACTCAGGTTGTACCGACCGATAATACCAGGATTGGTGAATCCGGTAAGGGTGACAAAGAAATCATTTTGAGAGCGACGAGCGCTAACCTCGGCGGTGCCGACAAAGTCGGGGGCAAGTCGGGTAAGGCGCTGTCCATCCAGGGAGTAGACATATATCTCATCGATGACCTATGAGTGCATGTGGTTGTCAGCCTTCAATCTCAAGCTCATGAAAGACACGAAACCATGTCAGACTAACGTTGCGCTTGTAGACGACGGCGAAGTGGTCCTTGCCCACGGCTGTCACATCATCGAGGAAAGCGTCCTTTTGTTCTGGAATTAGGTCTTTGCGCTGACACTTCGGATCTGCCAGATCAACGGTGATGACTTTGTACCGAGGTGCATTCTCGTTGGTAAGGATGTACAATTTCGTCCCGTTGTTCGCAATTCTGATATGATAGTTTGCCAGATGAGTCAAACAGCGACGCCACGATCTTACACTTGATATTTAGCATCAAAGTTGTCGATCAACTTCTCCCATTTCATGTTTGGACCGATTGCACTCTCCTGAAGGTCGCAAACCCATAGCAGATTTTTCTGTGTCGCCTCGAGTGTGAGGATCACAGTAGCATGAACTATATGGGGAACGTACCCTGGCAGTGTCCCTCTTGACACTCATGTAAAGGTAGCGCCCATCCAGTTCAGACACGGAAGCCCCCCACAACCACTCCGGGTGTTCGGCATCTTTCATGATTAGGATGTCCGCGGCCGGTAGGCATCAAATCGTCAGCCCATTGTAGGTAAGGGGCTTGTAGAGTCGGAGACTGACATTGTGGGGTCCCGACTTTATGGTAGTAGACCATTGCATTCTTATCGTCGATGGTCTCGATCCTCGCTTTATCCTCCGGAGTGATACCATGAGACTCACGGTCGGGAAAGCGCTAAATCGGAAAAAGAATGCCATATAGAAAGCGGAACGTGGCAGTCAACAAGCCGTCACCATGATGATTTCCGAGATAATTCATATTCACCTGGTAGAAAAATCCCATTGAGTCATGCGTCCAAGTGATAGCAGAGAATTTGACAAATCGGATTTCCTCCGACAATCGTTTCGCATGACGATCATTGCGTCCCCCATCTGCGGACGCCAGAGGATCACTGGTGCGGCGGGCATAGATCGTGCAGAAATCACTGCCCTGGAAAGTGGCAGCTTGGTTATGAGATCGCAAAAATTCCATTAAAGGGGAGCTTGCCAACAAAGATATGCCATACGAGTAGTATTCACCTGAGTGGGAGAACGCAGAGCTGGCTATGGCCACTGTCCCATCGTCGGATAGCAAGTTAGGCTGGGAGAAAGAGTAACATAGTAAACGTCAGGAAGAGTGCGACAAACAAGGGACGTACATCGAAGAATACCTCTCCTCCTGAACCACCCTCGGAGAAGTCAGGAAGTGCGTCACCCTTGGAGCGATAAAGGACTACAACCCAGGGTATCAATGATCCCATGAGAATTCAGAGAGGCCAGAACGCATACCTGGCTGAGCCTGTAGGCCACTGTTGCAGAACCAGTACCATCGCCTATCGAATCTGAACGATGGCGCAGTGAACTGCACATTTCGTCAGATTTACGCCTAGTGCACTTTGAATCCAACGCTGTACCTTTTCGTAGTCGGTATTGGTTCTGATCTCCTTCTCTAATGCGGCACGATATTGGTTCCTGTTCAAGTACGCCCGAGTAAACTCATCTTGTTGTCCACTTATCAGTCTCCTCTGACCGATCTTCTAGCCACTGGTAGGGATCGTGGACGCGAACTTGTCCGTTTGTGTCACTATTGTATACGTCGACAAGATCAGAGCGTCGAGCTGTCGGATACTGGTTCGGGATCCAGGGAGTAGGAGACATCAAAGTCCTGGTGTGGGATAGTTTGCAGATGAACGAGAAGCTTACTGCTATGGAAAGCCGGACAACCGCGCTTCGTTTGGCATGTGGTTCTTGTGCCGATGGCAAACGTGCAGCACGTTTTTCGGTTTCGAAGTGCTGTCAGCAGAGGGGCGCCAGACACTGCAGTAGTGCAGTTTTTGTCACGTGACCCCTTCTCCTCTCAATCTCTCGGCTTCATAGTCACGTGACTTCCGCTCTGTGCGCGCGCAGTCTCGGCATCTCGACACACACTAGATCGCATTCTCCTTTGTGATCTACGTTTGTCTAGTCACTTTCGTTCTGTTCACTTCCTTGATCACTTAGCTCGTATCTTCATCTCTTCACCCCGTTCGTTCACCTAGCTACGAAGGCAAAGTATTTGTCTGTTTAATGGTAGACTCACAGGTACTACATCAGTAAAGCTAAGCGTTCAAAAACCTGGGTTTTCAAGCGCTCAATGTTCGCCAGTGTTTGCGGAGCATTCAAATACAGTCTAACGTGCATGCTGTAATTTGGCTGAATTTACTGATGTTGCAACTCCCAAAGGAGACCGGAATGATTTTCAATTTTGCAAGTGATGCCGAGATGCCGGGGGATTGGCGGTTCTGAGACAGAATGACATCATACGTCGGAAAAGGGTCTAGAACGCTGGCCTGGGTGTCATGACATCTTGATGATATCATACCCCGTGACCTCCTTGCCAGGGACATGAGCGCGGGACGAGTTTGGGGGAGAGAAGGACACAGAACACTGGAGACTACGAGGAGCAAAGTGGAGCGCTGTCCCGACTATCCATCACCGTGCGGCGACGGCAACACTGTCCACGTTTCGACATTCCCTTATTTAATAAGGTGGCCAACCTTTTCTAGTGGGCGGATACATGCGTGACCTGTTGGACTTGTTCAACTGCAGCTGATCTTATTGCAGTGTACTGTACTACAGAAGTCAACAAGGTGCCACCTTGTGTCATTATTTTCTGCGTCTTCCCTTCCTCCACCCTTCATGTCGGACGACTTTTTCAACAGTGTGCCTTTCTCGGGTCAGAATACCAACGAGCAGGAATCTGTCGACTCCTTTGCACAAGCAATTGCCGCACGCTTTGGCTCCGCCGATCTTCTTACTGCGAGGCTCCTCCCTGACGACGCCCAAAAGGACGACCACAAGCAGCAAGTCCAGTCGCACGACCGTACCCGCCCTCCCAAACCATCAATTCCCCTCCCTCCACCCGCCTTTCCCCTGTTGCCTCCGCCTTGCAGAGATCCCCGACCCGACCAATCTCCCTCTGCATCTAAATTTCCTGAAAATTCACCGCCGTCATTAAATCAGTCTTTCACACCGGTCTCCCCTACTGAGCTGGCGTCTTACCTTTCGGAACACCCTACTCTCACCCTCGACATCAGACCTCATGCCGCCCATGCTTGTGCTCGCATCAGTCACGCCTTGTCCCTTTCAGTTCCGTCAACTCTTCTCAAGCGTCCTCTTTTCTCTCTCTCTAAGTTGGCTCAGATGATCCCCTCCTCCACTGCTCGCTCTCGGTTCTCTGCATGGCCAGAAGCATCCCATATCCTTGTATATGATGCGGATTCAATACATCTACCACATAGCAGCAATGTTGCTGGCCTTCTTCGCAAATTCCGCGCAGAGGGTTTCACCGGTGAGCTTGGCTGGATTCGGGGAGGTTTCCAAGCTGTATGGAGGGAAGCTAGAGAACTCACGACCACAGATCAACCGAGTCCGGAGGATGATGACACGGAAATCGGCAGTGGGTCAGATGCCCTGAGGACAAAGCGCCTCCCCAAGTCAGCCTTTTCTGCTACTTCAACAACAATGGGGTCCACAGGGGTTGGCGCCGATACATCGGGGGTAGCTCAAACTCCAGCACCGGCCATCGCGCGCGCTGCCAACCCATTTTTCGATGCTATCAGACAAAACGCTGAGCTATCGCAAGGCATCACCGAACGTATACCTCTTCGCCTTCCTCGACGTGTTAGGAAGCGCATCAATGATCTCCCCTTCGCATGGCTTCGGGAAATCGCCTGTCGTTCTACCGTTCGACACTTGCCATCATCGTCACGAAGCTACGGATCAGAGTCGGAGTCGAGTGATGAGCCACATGCGTCCGATCCAGATGAACACGACCCAGAAGTAGAAGAAGGCACAGAGGCACTGGCGATGCAGTTTTATCGGATAGAACTCGCGGAACAAAGACGATTGTGGACTGTCATGGAACACCATTCGAAAGAGAACGATGTGGCAACTACAGGTAAGATCATACATGCCGGTAGAGAGAAAAGTAAAGCTGACTGAGCGGTCTATGATCGCATCGCAGGTGAGGGTATGGGACGCACGCCGATGACCAAGACTGTGCCAAATACACCCCATCCCTCTTTGTTCCCATTCTCGATCACCGCAGGCGTGGAAAAGGGTGCAAAGAACAGGTGGGCCCTTTCGGAATATTTTACCCTGTGCTGGTTTTTCTTTACTTGTCCTGTTTGTTATCCTGTCCCGGTTACTTTCCTTTTTCTTCTTTGCTTGCATCTCTTCACGTTTCCCGATTTCGCTGTTTGGTATGTTTGCTTATCAAGTTGTTGTCCTGGCCACGATCCCGTTCTTGTTTCGCGTCCACGTAGCGAGACGAGTTGTGCACGTTCCGATTGCCACTGATCGGTCCGGAAATTGACTTCGACGGCATTCTATGCCACATTGCGTGTCTTGCCCACGCCTACGGATAACACTCCGCTGAGGGCAACTTCAGTTCTCTCTGTTGCCTTGTTGGTGAACCCTATACTTACCACTCTCTCTGGACGTAGATACACCCACATCTGGCCTTTCGAACACGCCCGTGTGCGCCTACATGATGGCCGACACCAGGGTTCTCACCCTGGCAAGGGGAGCAAAGGGAAGTCAGCGAATCTCGCGTCCAGTTGGGTACATGAAGGGAAGCGCCAACGATCCACTTCAGCCACGGACGGTGTCGGCGTGATGGATAATGCTAATGCGACCCGGAAGCATCATTCGCTTGGCATTAACAGAATAGCGGAGGGTGCTGGCGATAATGATCCAGGCAACGCTAAGCAAGACCTACTACGAAGTTCCTCAGATCTTTTGTGCCAGTCTAATCTTGTGGACATCGACACGCAAATACCAGAACCCCTCACTCCTGCCAGCGGGCTCCAACGGCGGACACTGATAGCTCCTATGCAAATGCGACCCCCTTTCACACTTCCCTCCACTTCTCTCCAGATGGACGCGCGAGACTCGCACGCAAGAAATAGTGCAGTTCCCAATAGCGGTGCTCAGTCTCAGATGAGTCCACCTGCACTCGCTTTGCAACTGCCTCGCCCTCGAAGGGGTTCTTGGTCGCCCACGACGGCCGGACCCAAGACAAGTATTCATATGCCATCTGTTAGCGAAGATGGTATTCATCCCGATATTGATCCGGATATGCGGCTGGGGAACAGAACAGGGAATATTCGGAGTGAACCCTCACCTTTGGATGATTATGTCAACGCTTCGTACGTACAACCGTTAGGCACTCGCAAGAGGTACATTGCGACACAAGGCCCCTTGCCTGCCACCTTCCTTGACTTTTGGACGTGCGTTCCCATTACTTGTTGCCTACTTTCTAGGTTTTTCTGACAACATTATTGAGCAGTTTAGTTTGGGAGCAAAATGTGCATGTCATTGTTATGCTCACCCGCGAGGTTGAGAGTGCCATGGTCAAATGTGGAGCCTACTGGACGGATACATGCTACGGACCATTCCGCCTCCAGTTACTGTCGACTTCACCACCGCTTTCTCCCTCGCTACTGGCTGATTCTATGGAAACGTCCAGGCAGGGATTCTTCTTTGCCCTTCACGAGCCAGGCACTAGTAGCAGGAGCGGAAATACTCCTACCACGATAACGCGCAGATTCGCGCTCAGTCACACGTCCTACCCTGGTGTACCCCCTCGCCACATTACTCATCTGCAGTATCTTGACTGGCCGGACATGAATGTCCCTGATGACGCTCGCGGAGTTCTGGATCTCGTTAGGCGTGTCGAACATGCTGTAGCGGAAACTACACCGGCTCCTAGTCCGAGCGAGAGCTTGAGCCCTGAATGTAGCACTAGCCCTAGCCCTGGAAGTGCTTCTCCATGGATCACCGGCCCAAAGAGGGCACGCTGTACATAAAAAGCGCGGCCATGGCTGGCGGCATCCAGAACTTGACCCAGCGACTGGCATTGCATCGTTTGCATTGGGGAAACATCCACCAGTGCTGCTTCATTGTTCAGCTGGGGTGGGCAGGACGGGTGGTTTCATCGCAGTTGATGCAGTGTTAGATGGCATTCGAAGAGAACTTCGAAAGCTCCGGGAGACGAGGGCAAGGGGAAACAGAGATATTGACACCGAATCCAGAGCTAGTGGGACAGAGAGTAGGGCTTCCGACGCTAGTACCGGAGGAGACGAGGGAAATAGTATGGACGTTGATGGGCCACCAACTAATAATGGCGAACCCCACCTGTACGCACCAGTGCGCCAACCGACTGCGTTACTTCATGTCACCGCTGGCGAGCGCAAAAAGGGCAGAAAGCAGTATGGTACGCGTGCGACCAGTTCGGAGTCGCTAGTCTTGCATGTGCCAATTGCAACGGTCCATCGAAGTGCTGATGACGACACCACTAATATGCAGTTCGACAACCCACGGACGGCGGGCTGGAAGCCTTCGTCGACTCGAGAGTGGGCAGAACAAGTCTCAGATCAAACGCATACCAAGGAACACTGCCCTGAACCTCTCACAACCGCCACGTTCATATCAGCTGTCCCTCCTACGCGTAGAACCGGGTCTCCTAGCTCTTCGAATAGTAGTGGACCTTCGGTGCTAAACTCAGCCGACGACTCGGTTGGCGGGTCAGCAAGTGTAAGCGGCTCCGGCATCGGTAGCAACAGTAACGGAGATGGAAAGAGTACGAGCGGGAGTGTTTCAGGGAGCGGCGGCAGCCTAGCATGCGCCCCACCTTCGTCTTCAGCCTCGATGTCCCAGGTCTCCGGTTCGATCTCGGCTTCAAACTCAAATTCTGGTAACGGTTCTGGAACTGGGTCTGATAGCTTGGGAAATGATTCGACCGGCCTCTGGAGTGTCATGCATTCCCGCCTTGCGGAGAGCTCTGCGACATCTTTGTCCAACCTTTCTGCTGGGTCTCCTTTCCCTAGATCATCGAAGTCACCAAATGGACCTAGCCTTATCCAACAGCCGTCGGCCGTGTATGGATCATCAAAGGGACGTACCGATATGGATATTGACGAACCCCCACGTGCCGTCTCCGTCCCGCTTCAGCGTGCAAAACAGGTCCTCTTGGATGAAGTTAACCTTCGCGGTGCTCCTCATCTTCACCGACAAGGTTTGATCGGATCATCACCAGTGGCTAGCCTCTCAGCTCCGTCGTTAACTACTGGCGCACCGACTAGTGGCGTCGGGTTTAACAATACCGGCAAATCTGTCTCACCTACGAATTCGAATCCAAGCTTGGACGAGCTTATGAGCCCTTGCCGGGAGTCCGAAAGTGGCAGAAGTGTGGATGCAGACAACGCTCCGAGTATACACATGAGTGTAAGGAGCAAGTCCGTTTTCACTGGTGAGGCCACTAGGACGAACAAGTGCACGACGAACAACTTTCAGGTAACTGATGTTGACCAGAAGCTTGGGGCGGTCGTAGCCGGAGTTACAAAGCGCTCGCCGCTACCTTGTGATACCAAGGGTGAAGCCAAAGCCGAGCCAACGCCTATGCGAATTCTAGAGGTGCCTGCGCAGCGGGTGGGTGGCAACGCTGGGGACTTTGACCCTGGAACCAACGCAAAGAATTCAGTCATCGACTACAAGCTGCCACGCGAACTGCATTTGGATATATCCCCACCATTGTTATCTTCGTACCAAAACCCGATCTGTATGGTAATCCAGGACATGCGAGAGCAGAGGATGAGCTTATGCCAGAGCCTACGGCAATACGTTTTTGTCCACGCCGTTGTGATAGAGGGTGCCTTGCAGATCATAGACGAGGAACAGGGATCGTGGGGCGACAGTGGCGGTAGCGACGATGGGCCCGAACTCGACCCCAGCGTCTTCGAGAATGCGAAGGAATCAGTTGGCAGTGAAGCTCAGGATGCGTGGATCGAAGACGTGAGTAATACTAAGTTGTAGATGATGTGGTGTCCGTTACTCAGATGGATGGTACTTCTGCAATTAGGCCTCTGCGAGAAGTGGAAGTCAGCATTTTCATTTCACAACCGCTGTTCCAGCATCCTCCGTTCTCTCTTCTTCGCCGAGCAAAGGTAAACGGAGACCCAGTCCCACTGAACTCCTCAAAGAGGACAAAACGGGCGCTCTGTCGCTAGCCAAACGCCCCAGTGTTAAGCGCAAGACACCCAGCGACGATGAAATACCACCCACCTTTGAGAGCAACGCTTCGGCTGCGGGACCAGTTGGCGTCCCTGCCGGGTCAGGCATCGCCGTTCCATTGGCTATAGGACCTTCATCGCAGGAGCACGGTGGTTGGTCTGGCCCGGCTGTGGAGTAGTTCAGAGTACGTGTGTGTTCAAAATTTGAGGCCCGTATCGATAAATATATCTCTAGTGGATGGATATCAAGGACTTTTTGGCACAAACTGTAGAAGAAACCAATCGTGCCCTTCTGTATCCTTATACCGACTTGTCTTCTTTGAAGCGCCCGTGTTGGCGACCTATTGCATCGGAAGCTCTCTTATATACCATGTAATTCTATTTTGCGTCCCTTAGTCACCTGTGCTGTCAAGCCTCTCGAAAATGCGACAAGAGTATTGTATATCGTCCATGCTGCAGGAGTTCGCAGGAGTGTTGTTTGTATGATAATGATGGAGTAGTAACCCAATGAGAACGTTCTCGGACCTTACTATGGTAGAGCACAAACGTTCTTATCTGTTGACGGTAAGCGTTGGAGCTGACTCCCGATCGACAGCCCCCCAAACTTCTACCCTGAGTTCACCTGCCATCTTTGCTCAAGGCTCCCTGATGAGGTGCCAAATATTAAAATGACAACCGGTTTTCGGTCTGGGAGGCCGTTTAGCCTCCGAAATTGAGTAGATCCTAGTGGTCCCCATTATTTACAGTACTATGGACGTATTTTACAAACCTTCCGCTTACGAGTAAGCGTGTATGCACGGTGTATGATCAAGCAATATGTGGAGCAGTACGTAACTATCCTGCATTCGGGAAGCCATACAACAACGAGCCCGTGAATACCCTAATGTGGTCCCGAGCTAACTCGCACCAGCGTCCAGTGATCGTCGCCATGGTCCACAGAAACCGGGTGCCGTGCTCCTTGCTGTCATTGTGGAGTGGAGGCGCACTTTATCGACCACAAGAACACGTATTCAAATGAAGCGCTCTATATCAATTCTTAGTGATCGAAACGTGACATCGAAATGCTCGGACCCACTTATTGTTTGCTGGGATATTCCATATTAGTCTCCACAGAATTGGCGATATTTGACCTCGGTAACCCGGGAAGTGCGGGCAAACGATCAAAAAACGCGTCAAGCATATTACCTTTCGGACTAGCTGGAAACAGTCCGGGAAGCGCGATTGTACTATGATCTACACAGTCTCCACAACCATCCTTGCAGTCTCTCAACTCTGTCGTTGCTTGCTGTGGGTTTCGATGCTCTGCGCACCCCGGACAGGCACAATAAAGACCACAAGTGCACCCTGAGCCTGCGATGGATTTAATGGCCTCGAGTGGAGGCATAAACGAAAAGTCAGGAACTTGTGATAGGGATCCAGAAGAACCGGAAAGAATAGGCGGCAGATCAAATTTTTGAGTAGTGATGCGCGATGAGGATGGTTTGCTACAGCAAGATCGTGTAGAAAATGTCGGTTGAACCGGAGACTTTTGATTTACTTTTTCGCTGGACATTGCCGCAGCATCTGCAAGTGCTGTTAAGCCTGAAAAACGTTGCTCGAGAACAGTAGGTCCAGAAGTGGTCGTCGAACCACACGTGCACGGGCCATCACCCAGACATTGACACGGATTGAGCAACGCATCAACTAAGGGCGATTAGTACCACAAGCTCGACCATCTGCCAGATGATACGCACGACATTGCTTCGAACTGGATGGACCCGCCACCTCCGATGACTTGAAGACATCCACAATCCCGTTGGGAAGAGTCGGCACACTAGGCATGAACCGCCGAGCTGGAGGCACTGCCCTATCAGCGAGTCCTGGACTTTTGGCAAAGATGACATACGCTTCCTATCCGGACGAGCCGCAGGAATGGGGACCTTGTCGATCGCCGTTGACGATGGATTACATGTACACTTGGAGTGCACCCGCTTTGCCTGACGGAGATCACGACATTTAGGACACTGGGAGACAGGGCGACCTTTCTTCTTCACTTCAAACAAAGGCCGCTCGGTATGCCCACAGGAAGAAGACCTATGTCCCTTGATACAGGACTCGCTAGGTTACGGTCGACATGGTTAACGCGCTACTTCCGGAAGGAGCATCGAACACCAGCTCACCAGGCATACTTCTTCTCGTTTATAAACACCTAGCATGCCATCTAGCTGTGCTGGAGAATCAGAATAATTCCACTCACCATAGTTACTGGCAATGACTGTTCAGGTACGTGTGGAAGGCAAGCGCTCTGGCCACCCACGCCAGTGTTGGTAGCCAGGAACCGGATGTGTATGTCACATATGGCCGGCCACATGACTGGTACCGTAACAGTTTGTTGCACCGGCGGCAGAACTTCCTTAGTCACGGCTCAAGCGCTCATTCGCGCATAACCACCGACTTGTTGTATGTACGTATACTAAATCTCTTAGGTATTTATCGCCGAGTAAGCGTGCAAAGATTTCTGAAAATTTACCTACATCATGGTGCTTGCACGGCCAAGTTCAAATCCGACGCATAGATTACGTAAGTGAAGCACCGCAAAGTCACTAGTAGCTCTATTAACAGAGCTGCTTCTGGCTGTGCAAGACGAGAGGCAAATGCGCAAGTGGTTGACACGAAAGCTTCGGTCTGTCTGGAAACTAGGTGTGCGCTCGCGCGAATATCCCTTCTACGTGCTGGACCTTGCTCCCTCCTTCAGACGTCCGTCATGTTAGCCTTGTGACTGTTGGCTGTTGGAAATATTCCTAATAGTTCCGACGTCTAGATTGATCCAGATTTACACGTGTATCAACATGTTGTTCATCACATGACATTCCTTAGCAATCAGCTCCACAATGATGTCATAATGATATCATACTATATGTCATATTCCATGACCTTCTGTGCTATTCCTTACTATACTGAGTAGTAATTTCCTTTTACATTACTGGTCCATGCGTACCTACTCATGTATATAAACTCGGGGATTTCTTCCTCAATCCCTATTGAATCATCGAATCATCATATTCGTTCTTCACTTGTCTACTCAACAACTGAGCCCCTCAACGCTTAACAAGCTTACTTCAAATGCTACTACCGTTCTGATAAAAGGCAAGTGTTCTTGCCATTGCTCTTCGTTCCTCCCGTTCCTCTGCACAATAGGTTATGAGCCCCGCCAACTAGGCGGTTTGCTATTTGCGGTATTTGCATCGAGCATTCACTGCCGACGGGCATAACACGATGGATATCGTAGGCCTAGATGCACTAGGAGCGGTAGTAGTAGTCTTCGCTGTGTCACTGGTCGCTGGTGTAAACCAGGCCGTTTTATTACTTCATTATGGTGGCCATGATCCAATTCATCTATGTGAGCTTTGCATACGCTTGGTGGCCTTTTGGTTTTCTTTTCTAGGTCTCTCTGCCTGGTGGTGAAGGCGACAGAACTTGCTTCAAGAGCAAATTCTTCGCAGAGCACTACTTCAGTGTCTCATACTTCATCCACCGACTCCACCACCTCATTACCTTCACTTCCATCTTCCCGATATCGATCACAACACCGATTTAGATCCTGTTCCGCCTTATGACAAGCTTGAAGTGCGTGACCCGCCTTCTGCACGTCGGGCACCTACTCCTCTACCTGAGGATGTTGTGGCTGTCAACGAGTTGTTGAATCCTAATGTCATTCTCGCTATCGTTGATGATAACGCTGAGTTCGATTTGCTTTAAAAACTCATTTGCTTTGTCGAACAACAGGAACTAATTGTTCAAAAAGATGTCTCTCGTCGTTGCAAAGAAACTCGAACTTGCTATTGCTGAGCAGCAGGATGGAATGTATGATGTAAAGTGGCGGAAATATGCAGTTAAGGAGATCATAGAATATATTGAGATGGTATATGTACGAGATTGCACCAGCTGGAGAGAGGCTGTACCGTCGTCGGTGGCTTTCTTCAAGAAGCCAAATCCTGTGACTTATCTTGTCCCTATTGACACCGTGGAAACAGCGTGGCAACAAATGCCCCACTTTCCTGGTTTCGAATTGCCCTTCTTCTACCCAGGCCTCCATTTAGCCTTCCATGGCTATCTTACCAATTTCTTTCCAAAATTATCCCATACCTCGACTCCTCACGCCATAGCTAACTATAATGGTTGTGATCTTCCCAGTGCTTACTATGAAGATCCTTCCCTCGACACTGTTCCCGCGTTCACCATCACCCATGATACGTTTATTTATGTCTACTACAATGTCCACCCCCTCTATGATCCATGCTTCAACGGCGTCATCCCTCCTCTCCGCCTTTGGAACCAGCATCTTGAGTTCCATTTCAGAGGAACTTGGGTTGACGGATCGACCGACGTTACCTGTATCCCGGGATGGTTCCGAGAACACCGACGCGGAGGAGACAGCTTTGATAGCGACCTATTTAGGTCTATACGATGATATAGGGATGAGGCAGATGTGGGAAGTGCCTTGCGATATAACTCTGCTAACTGGCATCTTTCATGGGGCCTCGACCCCGCTAACACAGAGTTTGCTTACTGGCCTGGAACAGAAGAGGTTCTACGTGATCTCGAACGTGTCACGGACGACACTACTTTTGATTATCTCGCAGCATCCCGACCTCGCGGAATTCGCACCATGGCTCTTAGCCGAGCTCGTGAAGCTCAAGCCATACGACAAAAGTTATCCTCTTCCAAACTCACTGGACGCACTGTACGTATCAGGCAGCTGAAACCATTGGGCAACTAATACTTGTACTCTTTACGAGTCATACAATTGTTTAGAAGTATTAGTTAAGGACCGACATCCTCGCTATTCTGTTGCACTAAATGTACCATATTCTTGTGCCGATCCCTATCTTGGGTTTCGAGCAGAGGGAATTCCATTGCACAATTGCAATTGGAGTTTTATGGCTTGTCATTATTTCCCTCCGCTAGACTTTTTAAGTCTAGAGCGCAATAATTCTTGCATCTCATCTTGGAGATTCGCTGAGAAAGGTACCATAGCACCAGAGAACAAGTTACAAAAGCGAAGGAATCCTTGTCCTTATCATAACAGCCAATGTACCTGCAAGTGTCGTCCATCTCAAGCTGCTAGAGCATCTGCTCGCAGACCCAAAAGGAATCGGATTCATGAATTAAATCCTCCATCCATCCAAATTCATCTGACTCACTCGTTCTTATACGAACACCTGCTTATGGACTTTTGACACTAGATGTCCAAAGGTCTTTCCAAGCAGATCCCCAAGCTTAATGGCTTGAACTATGCCTCTTGGTCGGTTCTTATGAAGGCTTACATGCAAACTCTCGGTATTATGGGAATCGTTGATGGCACAGTCGCTCTACCTGGAGCAGCAGCTGGGCAAGCAGCAATTGATGCATGGAATGTCTCCGACACCCACGCACAAGGAATTCTTACGCTCTATTGTGATCCAATGATCGCAATGTCCATTGATGGACAAGCTTCAGCTCATTTAAAATGGCAGGCTTTACAAGCCGCATATGGCGCTCCTTCGGCCATGACTACATTCATGGAGTTTCAGTGACTCATTCGCATTCAAATCAAACCGAAGGATGACATCATGACCAAAATTGCGGAAATCACTATGCTTATTGCTGCAATTAGTGCTCAGGGCATCGCCCTCAATGATAAAATGAAAGCACTAATTTTGGTACATTCGATGACACAAGCCTGGGAACAAGCTCCCGTCAATATTCTATCCTCCATTGCTGCCGATCAACTTTCTCCCGATACCGTAATCCCTCGCATGAAAGAAGTCTGGGCCCACAAATCGGGCAAAACTATGCTTCCTCAACAGGATAAAGCTGGGTCATCTTCGACCACGGTAAAACAAGAATCTAATTCACTCCTGGCACGTATGAATAAGCCGCCACTCTGTCAAATTTGCAGAGGTGGACATAATACTTCCGATCATCAATCTGGATCAGGATCAGGATCCTTTCGCAGTTACCATGGAAGTCGCGGAAGAGGTCGCGGAGGTTGTGGACGTGGACGTGGAGGTTATACTCCCTATACTCCACAACAACAGCAGCAAGGTTCAGGTTCTCGTGGCCGAGGCCAGAATCGTCACCGAGGCAAGGGCAAAGCCCGAGCCAATAATCTCGAAGTAGAAGGCGCGGAAGCAATTGACGCTGCCTATATCGAGGAACTTCCTGATGGTTCCTACGATCCAAATTCTAGATCCTGGGATGTCTACCTGGATCAACAATACTTCGAAAATGCTGCTACTTCTTTTGATGCGGGAGACTTTGATATTACCACACTAAATATACCTGTCCGCGAACCATCTCCTGAATATTCTCTCCCGGAAGCTACTCCGGTTGAACGAGTCTATTCTTCCGACCCTAATACATACCTTGGACAACATGTCATCACTGACACCGAGATGTATGATCCTGATCTTTCCCACCAAGATTTACAAATGGCGATGGAAACTGTTGGGGATAACCCAAACTATCCAGTTGATGTGACAACCGGAAATCTTGCTCCTTGGTATCTGGAGGAAATTCAGAATTTCCAACCGGATCAAGTTGAGTCAGTCAAGATTCATGTAAATATTCCTGGCTCTAATTCCTGCCAATGTTCTATTTGTCGCCGGACAGCCACAGCTTACAACCTGCTGGAGGTTTCCCTTCGGGAACCGGAGCAACGGGAGTACTCGGACTCTCATCCGAGGAAGATTTCCCTTCCCCCTGCTGAGCAGGACAGGACACGTCAGAGTGGTTCCCTCAAACCCTCAGTACGAATGGGAAATACTGTTTTGGCTGGCGAGAACTTGGTGGAGAACAGGAATGTTAAGGATAATGGCAATGCGTCTTCGGCGCAACAACAGACTTTTAATCTCTCTTCCCCTCGACTTCGAGGACAGAATAGTAGAGATGGAGGATCTCTCCGAAAATCCGTATTAGTAAAAGCCACTAAAAAGCGTGCTAAGCCTATGTCCTTATTTCAATTTCACGAATCTGTGCCAGAATCTCCTGTTGTAAAATCTCTTCACATAAAGCATAATCCAGACATCGAATATGACCCAAACGAATCTGCTTCTGGGTATTTACCCATGCAATTCGATGGTCATGCTTTCGATTCTTATGACTTGTACCCCTTGGGTGTGCCATTGTCATATGCGAATCTCAAAAAGAACCTTCCAAAGGGTGAGTCATTATGGATGTTGGATTCCAGAGCATCACATCATGTGACTCCTTTTAAAACTGATTTCTTGACTTATCGAGAGTTTCAAAATCCACCTTTGGCCTCTACTGCAGGCACTAAAAAGGTTCAACTTCTCAGTCAAGGAACAGTGGTTATTTGCCTTGAA